TCCAAGTCTCTAATGTAATCAGATTACTGGCACAGACTGGCTGATATTCACATTTGAGGAGCTGAAAGCAGTGAATTTTTGGCACTTTGAGGTGAATAATGACTGAACTGATTGAATGGATTATCACGATAGCAGCATGTATTTTCTGTCGATCGACTAATCGATTCATTAATTATTTCAGCTCTAATTGCTGCTGTTACTTAACTGAGCCAATGATCTGAATACTCTCCCCATCACTGCTGTGTATTATGACACAAAGCAGAGCACATGCTTATTCCTGCCAGCCATGAAGATTACATAACCCACCGGCCCTCCGACCCCCCACCACCTCCTCTCTCTTTCTTACACCTCTCTTTACTCCTCTTGTCATTTCTCCTCGGCCGGCAGCAGCAGCAGCTTTTCGAGCGGTGCGGCCATGCAGACGCTGAGTCCAACGTTCCTGTCGGTTCAGACACCGCCGTGCATGCAGCACCGAGCTGCACGTCAGTTTGATTTGCATGTGCGGCTGCAGGATGGCGTGCATCACCACCTCAATGTGGACTGCGCCTAATACCTGCCTCTAACGACTTACTGCACTTTAGATACAAATCTGTGCCTGCGGCCCACATCAGTCCTGTCGGGACAGCTGCGTCTCGCCTGTGTGTGTATTAAAAATGGACTGAAACGCTGTGTGCATGATAATGTGCACGCTGAGGTTCAGGGAATAAATCTGTCTCCTTCTTTTGAGGAGCGTGCTGCCTCTTGTCTCGTGATCTCGGCGCACTGAAGGCAGATTTTTTTAGTCATGGAGAAAGAGAAAGGATGCTGTCGCTGCATTGTAATCACACAGTGAATCTTTTGTTCTGACGCTGTTTGAGGTCAGTTCCAGGTCTGGTTAATGCATATCAAAGTAGTTATTGATCTCTGAATGTGGAACCTGGAGTTATTTTAGTTAGTAACAGGGTTATAAGTCAGATTTCAGTGAAATTTGGAGAAAGGGTCAGAGGAACTGATTAGTTTCAGATGTGGATCTGGATCCATTAGTATGGAGTCTGGAAAGTGTCAAAGAAAAAGCCTAATTCATAATTTGTTAAACAATATTGCTAGCATTTTAGGAAATGTTTAAGGGAAGTAAATCCACTCGTTCATTTATGTTAGGTTGACAACTTTACCTCCTCATTTTTCACTCAGTGTCGAGTTATATTGTGACTCCTCCGTTCAGTCTGAGAGCAGCAGTGATTTGGATTTGGAAAAATACGTCTTAACATCATAGTTTGTCCTCCACAGAACACTGATATTATGTAAATGTACCACTCACAAAAAAAAAAAACTAAAGTGTGGCGTTAGTTCAAAGACTCTGCTTAGAAAATCCAGTTCTGGCTATAATTTGCATATACTTTACCAAAGTGTTCCAGTACCCCAGTGACACCTGCAGGGTATTGTACATTTAGCTTGTTCTGTCAGTTGGCCATAAAAAGTGTGTGTGTGTGTGTGTGTGTGTGTGTGTGTGTGTGTGTGTGTGTGTGTGTGAATGCATGAACGCATGAGTGGTTGCAGCTCTGGTGAATTCGCTCTGGTTTCCACAAAGTTTGGTAGAAAACATTGGAGCCTCATGATCATTTCTTTTATCAATTAATCTGTTGATTATGAAATGTCCTGAATCACAAAATATTACGTCACTTTACAGCGATTCAGAAGAGCGAGGAGAAGCTAATCCTCAGATTGGAGACACAGGAAGCAGAGATTTTTCATTGTTTCAGCTCTGAAAATAAAATTAATAATTTGGTCGTCGATATGATGGATAGTTTTCATAAAATTCAATTCAATTTTATTTGTAGAGCGCCAATTGATAACAGAAGTTATCTCAGGACACTTTTCAAATAGAGCAGGTCTAGACCGAACTCCTTATAACATTAATTACAGAGACCCAACAGTACCACCATGAGCAAGACCTTGGAGACAAGGGCAAGGAAACACTGCCAGTTAAAAGACAGAAACCTAGGACAGATCCTTCGGCTCTAGGTGGGTGGTCGTCTGTCTCGACCAGTTGGGGTGAAAGAGAGAGAGAGAGAGACAGACAGACAGACAGACAGACAGACAGGTGCACAGCAACAACAGTAGCAACAACTACACTAATAGTAGTGACTGATGATGATGAACATGACATGATAAAACATGTCAAATTCTTCCAGGTGTGGCTTAAGTGACAAAAACTGCCACTTATTTTGCAACTGCAACCAAATATAGTTGAAGAATTTTACTCTAGATGATTATTTAAAGATCCCCTCCAGACAGATATTAGGACGTACACAGCTAGATTTTTGTTGTTGCCAAAAATATAATAATTTCCACATTAAAATCCTTAAAAAGGTATCTACTCCTTCTACCTCCAAAATCTATGAATATGCAAATTCTGTTTATATAATATATATATATATATATACACACACAATTAAGTTTTCCTGCTGGACACAAGACATCTCCTTCTTCACTGTAAAGTCCATTCTCAGAGTGTGTGCACTGGTGGATTACTGTTTCATACTGGACCAGGACTGACTTCCTGAACTATTTGTGATGTCAAAAAACATGCTGGTAGCGTAACATCCTTCTACTGTCAAACTCTGACAACAACATGACACATTTAAATGGCTGTAACTTCAGCCAGCAGCCAATCAGCATGGTTTTCTATCACAGTGAGTCCAGTATATGGATGCAGATGATCCAGACTCTTTTATAAAGCAGCACACTGAGAGGGCTGTGAGACTGGGTGCAGGTGTTCTCTCTCTGAGTGTTTGCAGCGTGCGTTGTTATGGACCTGTTAGCAGAGAGTTGGTTTCCAGTTACTATTGTTGTCTGTGTAAATGCACGTAGGAGGGGCTCAGACTGACATTTTAGTGCAACAAAGCTGCTTTGGAAAGCGGAGACCGGGAGGCAGGCAGCAAGAGGCCCGCCAGTGGAGGGCCGCATAGCACAGCAGCGTCACACCCTGCACTGTTTGAACAAACCAGGACACACAGAGAGAGAGAGAGAGGTGTGTGTGTGTGTGTGTGTGTGTGTGTGTTCAATGCTTTCTGATCTGTCCACGGCTACATGTTTTTGTATTTCCTCATAAGACAGCAATGTGAGGTATTCCAGTTATTCCTCTGGCACCGCTCCACGTCTTCTGAGGAGACGCACCTTCAGTTTTACTTTTAATAGCAGGTTGTGACGTCAGGGGGCGGCGCACAGTGGGGTGACTTTAAATATCACCTTTTACACTTTGTGCGTCAGCTGCTCGGCAAGTCACACGCGTCTCCAAGTGTGCACGCAGGAAAAACAAACACTAGTTGTTATGCATCAGAGGCAGATCCAACATGGCTGCCCCTCCTCCTGGTGCCCAGGCCTGCTTGTAGGTAACAGACTGGCTGGGTTCAGCGGCTGTGAGCTGGTCTGAGGAGGTTTGAGCCAGATGCTGCTCTGGAGAGACACACACACACACACACACACACACACACACACACACAGTCACACCCTGTGACGTTTACAAGGCGCCCGGCTGTTAGACCGTCAGTGCAGCACCTCCAGATGGAGCGAGCACACCTGGGCTCTTCTTCTTCTTCTTCTTCTTGCTCTCAGCGCCTGTTACATTCACGTAGGATCTGGAGTCACTTACTGCATCCAGCCGTAAGTGTCCAATGTGAGATTGGGTCGCTGCTGCGGTTGCTATATCAACAGGAAATGTGAAAGAGAAGCTGTAGACTGGGTTTGATACATGAGGAGGATTCTGTGTTGGGCTTTGTTTAGACTGATGGCTGCAGGAAGTTTGAGTCATTTTTGCATCAGTGGGAGTTTTGAAGTGCCTGATGGCTGTTGTGAGCTGTGGACAGAGGCAGCGAATCCTCAGTGAATCTTCCCGGAGTGCAGATACATGCAGTCAGTGGTTTAATATAGAGAATCTGAATGTTACAGAAGGGTCACAGGTCACAGACTGCACACTCTGCTGCTGCCGAAGGGAAAAACCGAGTAAAAGGTTGACCAGGATGAAGTCTGATCAACTGATCTCTCATCCTGAGCTATGTTAAGAAGTTAAGTATGCTTTCATCTTGTGGTATGCTGGGCCACCAGAGAGACCGTCCCCTCTGGAGTCTCATCACTCTGCTGCTTTTACTTCACTCGGACTAAACTGTTACAGAGGTTGGCACAAATACTGAGGTGCGAAGAGCTGCAACGATCGGTCGATTCATCGACTAGTTGTCAACTATTAGATTAATCAGCAACTATAAGTAGTTGTTTTGAGTCAGTTTTTCAGAATGAATGAGCACATTTTCTGATTTCAGCTTTTAAAATGTGAATGTTTTCTGGTTTCTTTAGTCCTCCTTTCTACTTAAGGGACCCCTTTCTATAATTTATCAAACTGACTAAATTACATATATTTTATGGATATTTTATATTATATTGACAACTGCACAGTGAACCCAAACAGTGAACTCAGTAACTGCAGGAAGTTCGTGTGAAACGAGAGATTTGGATGAATTTTGAGCAGATTATTTCCTTTCCTGCTGAAACTTTAAATACAATCTTCTGTATCATGTTTTATTTATAATTTTTTAACATTCGTACAGACTTAATAGGCCTACTGTGTATGTTTTTTAAATTGTCTAGCACGCCTTAAAATCAAGAAGGCCTCCTGACCCCCCATTAAGCTCTGGCTTTGACCCCCAGGTTGGGAACCACTGCTCTCTGACTGTAAACTGATTATCTTTAGGTTGTGGACAAAACCTTGGGCTTTGGAAAACAACCAGTATTAGTGTATGTGTGTCTGTGTCATTTGTTTCACCTGTTATGTCATTGTCTGGGTCAGGTGACTGCCTCCCATTGGCCGGTGCTTCTATGAAGGCGAGGCCACACCTGTGCTGTGTTTTTTTAAAGCCCTGACGAAGACCAACAGTGGTTGAAACATGTCGGCTTTGTAATGATTTGTCTCTTTCTGTTGATCCATGTTTCCAGGTTTCACCTCTGATGATGTTCTGTTCTGTTTCCAGGTAAGAGGAAGCCGTTGCTCAAGCTCTCCAAGGAGGTGTTTGAGCAGCCCCCTCCCGCCGCAGTGTAAGTTTACAATCACACTTCCTCACATGCAGTGCTTTAATCTGTGCAGAGGGTTAGTATTGATCATCATGTCATATGGAGTACATCAGCCTTCACGGGGTTATTGTGACACATGTACGCGTTTTCATTTCTTCACATCACTCCCCTGACGTTCACCCGGTTCCAACACAATCCGACTTTCTGTAGAATGATTGGTACATTTGCACCATCGTCTCCTCATTCTTGTTAACGTGAAGCTCAGACTGCAGCACGGAAACTAAATGTGCATGCGTCTTAAAGTGAATCATCTTCATTGAGAAACCTGCTGCAGCAGCAGAGGCGTTCTGGTTTCAACTCCATGAGAGAGTCGGACTATCAGTCGTATTACACGTTCTGTGTACATCTGCTTTTATTGCATATTTTAATTTACATTTTTTGATTGTGTCCTTTTGATTATTATCAAATTGACTTGTTTTTTTTACTTTATTAGTGTTTATTATTTATATAAAAATACATATTTTAGTTTGGTTTTTCAATTTATTTACTTTTTATATTATTCCATTTTATTTTGTTTGATATTTTATTTATTTTTATTTTGTTTAATATTTTATTTATTTATTTATTTTTTTAGTTTAGACATTTTTTAGATTTAACTTTTATTTTGTATATATATTTTTTTATATTTTAATTATTTATTTTTTATTTTATTAGCTTTTAAAATTTTCTGATTTAATTTTATTTAATTATTGTTCACTATTTCAATTATTTATTTCTTTAATTTACTTTTTAAATTTAGAATTAATATTTATATTTTAAGTATTTATCATTTTTACATTTATTTTATTTTCAAATTGTAACATTGTTTGTTTTTTTCAGCTTTTTCTGGAGCTTTCAACCACATTCTATGTCCTCTCAGAAAGATCATTATCCTTTGTAGTTTCCATCCACTCATACAGGACAAACTCTTGACATTTTATTTCTGTAACCACTTTATAAGAAACAAACTGTCCGTGTGTTTCAGACCCCCCAGGGATTTGGATTCGAAAGCTTGTGTAACCATCGGAGAGAAGGTAATTTCATTTCTTCTGCTCATTTTTGGATCGGGACATATTTACTTTCATCTTTGCACCTTTCCCAATCCCATTCAAGGGTTATAGTTTTTTACCTTGGACTCTTACATAACTCACTGTTTACTTTGTTCCTCCTCCCAGTGCATTTTGGGTTTACTAAGTTCTGTCTCAGTCCACAGAGGTTGGTTTAATAAAGGGTCTGTTAGCCGTAAAGAACGCCCCGGTGAACATTACAGCCGAATTGAACACTTCTGATTGTGGGGAGACTGGAATGCCTTTTATTGCCCATCAGGCAGTAACATTATTTATTTTAAACTCATCAAAGAAGTGGAATTTTCCATTGGCAGGGCTTCTTTGAGACTGTTCAGTGATTCAGACGTCAGAGCTTCTTTACATTTTGCCGTGCAGTTGCAGGTGTGATCAGAGACTCTTCCTGCGTTCAGTCTCTGTCACCACAGCTCCGTTTATTTCCGTCTCTCTCCACCACTGTCTCTCTCACCTTGCTCTCTTGTTGTGTCCGGAGCAGAATTTCGAGGTGAAGGCGGATGACCTGGAGCTGATCTGCGAGCTCGGCCGAGGAGCGTATGGCGTGGTGGACAAGATGAAACACGTGCCCAGTGGCCTGATCATGGCTGTGAAGGTGAGCGGAGGGCGGCTCTGAGCTTCCATGCGACAGCCTCCTCGGGGTGCCATGATAGCTCACTTGGTAGAACTGGTAGCAAGGCTGAGTCCCTGCTGTGGTGGCCATGGGATTAAGTGTGTCATCCACTCTCTCTTCCCTTTTGGTTCTGGTAAGAGGGGCTTAGCGGAGTGATATGAGCAACGTTTTTTTCTATGTTCAAGTTACCTACTGCAGCTTTAAAGGTGAAAAATGGCCCGTATGGAAACAGTTCCCTTTGAGGTCATGTAGGTAACATGCATTGAATTGAACTAATAGTCAAAACTTCTAGAGGGGAAGTGTAAATGCCACTACGACAGATTATCTGTCTCATGTTCTACTGTCAGGATATAGTGGAAGTTTGAGGAAAATTTATTTTATAAAAATGACCTACTGCAGCTTTAAATTGTATTATAAGTGCACCGGCAGGTACATTATTTCATGGTCATGGAGACGGAGGATAAAATCACAAAGAGCAACAGAGAGAGCAACATTGACCCAGTCTGTACAGCTGTACATAAAATCTGTTTTACTAGACGAGAAACATGAAGATATCAACAGGAAGGAGGGTCGTAATAAACCTTTATGTTTCCTGTTGTCCTCCCTCAGCGGATTCGGGCCACAGTGAACACTCAGGAGCAGAAGAGGCTGCTCATGGACCTGGACATCTCTATGAGGACAGTGGACTGTTTCTACACAGTCACCTTCTACGGAGCACTATTCAGAGAGGTAACATTAATGTAGAGGTGCAATACACCGATTATTGATGTTTACAAGTGTGTAAATCCCCAAAACTACATCTTCCTGCATCTTTTTAATGTAGCGTGGAGAAGGTCAAAGTCAGGCAAACCTGTTCAACACAAGGAAGAGCCAACTAATTTAATTAGAGCCTGAACTATAAAGCTTGTATCAAACCTCAGTATGTCTTTAGTACCCGCTGAAATGTGTAGTCCCAAAAGTTAGCCTTGAACGTCTGGTCATAAAGGTTCTGATTTGAATAGTATAATGTAATATTTATTCAGACAAAGTTAGACTGTGTGAGTTCAGATCACATTTAACAAAAAGTTTAGCTTCTTTTATCATCAGAAAAATTTTGTTTTGGGTAAAAAGAAGGGTCATATTTCTAAAAGTAAGAAGCAGTATTTTGGTAACGTACTGAAATTCTCCTTATATCTGCATTAATACAAAAAAGGTTTAAACAATATCCAACCATACAGACGGAGACTGGAATTTTGGTGGAAATAGACTTTTAATTCACAGTTACATTTGAAAATATTTGTGGAAAGGATGACAATGGTCTGTTAGTCTGTAAAAGTACGTCCACTAAAAGTTGTTGTTTCAGGTTCTGACAGCATTATGGAAAGGATCCCTACAGAGATAGACCTTTAGTTTAACCACACACAGGCGTAATATCACTATTACTCTCCACCAGACTCCAGAGACAGAAACACTCATTTTACCTTCAGATCATCGTAACTTCATTCAAAGTGGACAGAAACAGAATAAAACTGATTAAAAGCGTCTCTGTTAGTGTTTCCAACAATCACCAACTCTGGTTTGGTGGAAATAAATCCTTAATTCACCGACGTAGATGATAAAAACAGCAGTTTCAGTCGGAGCAGACCGGCTATGGAAACAACCCACAGAGAGGCTGCGATACAACACAGACAGAGGGAGTGAGACACCATGTGACTCTGTATTAATTTAAACTGTGTATTACCCTTGAGATGAGATATTGTCCAGCTGAACAGGACTTTGTCATTATAAATGACTTAAAGTTTCAACAGTAAAAATACAAATATGTTAAACTTCAATTAAGAAAAAGTCAAAATATATTTAAGCAGCCTATAGAACTATCTATTGCCACTTATTTTGTATGTTTTACTTTTGCTTTCCTTATTTCTTTTTTATATCTGCCAATATTTATATATGTATCTCAGATCAGCCGTCATCAGCTGATATCTGACACTGTATCAGTTGGCCTGTTGTCCAAATCTACGTCCGTCATTGACCTCAAACAGCAGCGTATCCTGATGACAAACACCTCTAAAGATTTTCGGATGCAGACGACTTCCTGCAGCAGCGAGTGGATGTTCAGGATTTCCTCGCCGTGACTAAAAAACACTGGAAAATCTGCCGCTTCCCGTCCGTCTGGAACGCGTCCTGCCGCCTTGTTTGTTGCCATTTTTCCTGATCTCTTTCCAAATGTGTCTGTCTGTTGCCAGGGCGACGTCTGGATCTGCATGGAGCTGATGGACACCTCCCTCGACAAGTTCTACAAGCAGGTGATCGAGAAGGGCATGACCATCCCCGAGGACATCCTGGGAAAGATCGCCGTCTCAGTGGGTCCACTTGCAAAACACTTCTGAGAACATAATGTGAAACGATTAAAAATTAATTCCACATGACATGCTTCCTGTGAATACTCGGATGATGTTAGCTTAATGACAGATATTTGTTATGTAACTCTCATTTGCTTATTAATGGGCTTTGTTATTACAGATAGTAAAAGCTTTGGAGCATCTGCACAGCAATCTGCAAGTCATACACAGAGGTAAGAGCCTGAGTGGAGACCCATTAAACCTCTCAGAGACAGTGTCAATATCCACTTCTGTGATGCATCATCACTCAGCTGCACTGAGCTGCTTTCTTTCTGTCTTTGTTCCATCCTGCTGCCTCCGGCTCCATTTAAAGGACCATACCAGTGTTTTGCATGTTTTATCTCATTAACTAGAAGTCACGAATGTTGCTGTGCGATATATAAACTAGATTTTTTCTGATCCTTCATTGGTTTCTATTAATTTCCTCTTGCTAGCATGAGTCATATAATCCATTACAGTGAACATGAAGTCTCTATTTATTTATATCGTTTTGACATTTTTCCAAATGAATCCCCTCTGAAGCTGCATTTATTAATCTCTCTGTATGATCAGTGGATTAAATGACTGTAATGGGACAGAGGTCACTCGCAGTGGTTAAGTTAGAGAAAAATTAGCACCCGACTCTAGTCTTTCAAAACAGGGGTCTCAAACTCAAGTGCTGCTGGTATTGTCATCTGGGGGCCACTTTCAAGTACTACAAGAAAGTGCAATATTCCCAAATATATTTCCATGACTGACATCATACACCCTTCAGTTCTCTGAAGTCCAAACCACTGCACCAGACAAAAAGCATTTATAAAAATGTAACTGTTTTTTTTATTTTAAATTTATATGATGACTAAAAAATATAATAAAAGTCTTGCATTAAATTATATTTGACATCATGACACAGGTCGAAGGGGAGGGGGATGGAGGGCTGGAAATCGCTGTTTTAGTGTCTTTCAGCTCATTGATTTTGTTTATATATATTTTATACGACTATAAATGGATGCTAATGTTACTGTGTATGCTGGATGTGTAATTGATAATAATTATTACATAACACTATTTTATCTGGACTATGACATATGACAAGTAAAAAACTTTAAAATATTTATAAAAAAAAAAAATCTAAGTTGAAATTTGGGTCTGGTTTGGGCCCAAAACTGCTGCTGTAGGTTGGGTTGAATTAGATTTTTTAGTATATATCGATATTTTGTTAATAATGCATTCAACTGTAATCAATGAGTGAATTGGTTTAATATTAATAATTATTACATAACAATATTATTACATGCACAATGAAGCTTGTAATTAAAAAAACAGAAAAATAAAAAACAGTTGCATAACAATGCAGAGATAATCTCAAATTGACAAAGCAGATTGTGGCTTCACTCCGATGGAAGTTTCAGGAGGCTATTGAAATGGCTACCTATATTACCACAGTAAAAATACAACCAAAATGTGCCAAGGCTACAAATAGTCAGTTATTTGAGGGTTAACCTTCCTGTGGCTTTTGCCTCATCAAAGCTTCGTGTAACCGCTGAGAAAAACCTTAAGTGACAACAATGAAGTCACACGTTTGGTCTTCACCAGCGACCACAGCGCTGGTTGGTTTGACTGCGGCCACGAGAGACGGCCGTTCTTTGAGGAAACCCTTGGCGTAGCTGTGCACAAAACTAAAACTGCTTTTCTTTCGTCTTTCTCTCGCAGACGTGAAGCCCTCGAACGTGCTGATCAACACTCAGGGCCAGGTGAAGATGTGCGACTTTGGCATCAGCGGCTACCTGGTCGACTCTGTGGCTAAAACCATGGACGCTGGCTGCAAACCCTACATGGCGGTAAGCCGGAAGAGACCAAATGAAAGTGCTGTAATTTAACAACTGAAAACCCTGAAGCTTCGTTTAAAGTCACACTGAAAGAAAGCTAATGTGGTGGCTATCTTCAAAGAACTCTTCTGTCATGAAAGACAACGTTATTTAATTAGTGGTTTTTTATATGTATATAATAATATAATGTGAATATAGCATGAAAATGGTGATTTCTTTTTGCATTCGGTTAAACTGTAAGAAACTCCCGGGGGTATCTTTAAAGCAGCTTTAAAGCAGTTACAGTTATAGATGGGCTGATGTCTGCGCTCACAAGGCCAATAAACAAAAAGACACATCAGCCGGCAGCATTGTCAGTGTGGCTGCTGTTTCCAGCCCTGCACTGTAACCCTCGTACATCCTGCTGTAAACCGTTTGTCCTCAGTCACCATCATTACTGGCTAGCTAGAATGTAGTTGAATGATGTCTCTTCTGACAGAAGACCCAGCTCATCCTTAATTACCAGTCATGTTCTGCATAAAACTGTGTTTTTCTGTGAAGTTAATTAATAAAAATTCCACCTAAAACAACACGTTACTGGCTAAGATAACCACATATGTTGGATCGTAATGTGCATTGAATAATGAGTTATACACAGGAGTTATACATGACTTTTCTTTGTTTTGATGTCGGCGTTATGTATCAGCCATCGCCCTGCTCTCATAATATCCGCATTGGCATTAAAAACCTGTATGGGTTGACCGCTCGTTCCAATCGATATGTTTATGACGCCGTGTCAAATGACAGAGAATTACCACCTGAACCTGCAGCTCCTCTCGGCTTTATGGAGCTTTGTATCGAGTTCCGGCTCATTGTTAAGCCACAAAGCACGCAGCTTTATTTAGGAGAAAAAGCAAAAAAACCCCAGTACTGAACTACCTGCTCAGCAGCGAACAGCGGACGGGATGTGGGCCAAACTAAAGAAATCAGCAGTCGTGTTTGAGTTGTTTTGGCTTCATTTTTTGCCAGTAGCAGGAAGTGGAGACGCGTTGTCCGTCTTTTTATATGTCGATGAGACACCAGCAAACACTTCTGGTGGCTCATAAGACTTCTAGTAAGTCCATAAAGGACCGCCTTTAATACAGCCTCACAGAACTGCTACCACAAGATGTAATTTACAGAGATGGTCTGTTAGTTTTGGCTTTATCCAGTTTTATTCAGACAACAAAAGATCTTTGCTCTCAACTATTAAAAACTGTAGTTTTTAGTGCAGTCCAGGAACTAAGTTGCATATCACAGCTTTGGTCAGATTTAGTTTTATTATCCACACATTTAATGAGCCCAGTTACATTTTAACCCCGTCTGCCCGGCTGCTGATTGGCTGAGTGGCTTTTAGGGCCAGGTTAGCACTGAGGGAACACAGCACTCTCTGTGTGTGGACAAGAAGTTTAGGATGGGGGGGGGGCACACATGTTGTCCTTGACGACTGCTGCCAAAAGTGACATCATCTGACCTTCTTTAATATTACATCTCCATCCCTTTTCTTTTTCCGTTAAAGGTTATTATAGTTATACAGTTATTATTATTGTTATTTTATTCCCAACACTTTTTCATACTGCGTTCATAATCCCTTCACCCAACTGGTGATGGGGGGTAAGTAGTAAGTAAAGTAAAACAATGTTGAAAATAAAAAGGAATAATACATACACACATATATATATATTTATTTAACGTCAAAATTCCTAACAATAATCATATAAGGGAACCATTATCCTCGGGACCCTGCTGACCCACTCTGGTGTTCCCTGGTGGTGCCCCGGTCCCCCCTTCAGTGCCAGTGACTGGGGCAAGTGTAGAGCAGCGACCCCCTGACCTATTTTTTATTTTTCCTTCATTTCCTGTGCCCTTCCTTAGTACGCCAGCTCCTCTGCTGTTTTTATTTATTTATTTATTTATTATATTTAACACCCCGCCACCCAGTCTAATAATGTGGAACACACACACACACACACCTAGCCCAAGCCACTAACACCCACACTGATGTCTGTCCGTCCCGCTCTGTAGCCATTGTTTCTGTCTTTGTCGTGTTGTTTGTATTTCGTATCTTACAATAAAAAATAATAATAATCTGACCTTGTGTCCCGCAGCCGGAGAGGATCAACCCCGAGACGAACCAGAAAGGTTACAACGTCAAATCTGACATCTGGAGTTTAGGAATCACGATGGTAAACCAGCTTTTATTTTCATTTCGGTCAGAATTTATATTTTATATTTCATCTCACTCACTCTCAGGCTTTAATGTCCTTAAAGCTGCAGCAGGTAACTTTTATGAAAATAACTTCACAATATCCTGATATATCCACAACATGAGACAGATAATCTGTGAAATAATCAGCTTCCTCTGGCTCCTTCTAGTGCTCCTGGTGGCGTTTACAAGAATCCACCGGGCCCAAACGAAAACAACCAATCAGAGCAGCCTTAATAGTCGAGTTGCAAGTCTTTTTTTTTTTTTTTATCAGAGCAAACCTGATTTTTTCACACATTATCTGTCTCATGTTCTGCTGTCAGGATATAGTGAAAGTTTAAGCAAATATGACACAAATAATTTTAATAAAAATGACCTTCTGCAGCTTTAATTGGTTCACATCAGTTTTCCTAAATGTCTTCATTGTTGAACAAAATAAACGTCTCTGAAAGGTAAAAATGACTCATAATAATAAATAATAAAAAAGAAATCTGATGTTTTATGAGGCATGGCTCCAGACGAATACCGTCTAGACGTTTTTATTATGAGTTGTTAAGTATTCATAGCTTTTCTCACTTGCACATTTTCAACTCAGACTGCAGAATATTTTGGCTTCAAGGATTCTGCAATCTGTGGCAATTTCCCATCATTTGTCCCTCGGCCTCGTCCTTTGGCTCCGGCAATTACAGACGAGCAGCAAATGTTCCAGCGCGAGTCTAATTTTCATGGTAATAAGAGCGCTAAATGTTCGGTGGGCAGGAGAGAGGAGGTTTAAACGATAGAGGTGAAAAGAACAGAGAGACTGGTTCATTATGGATTCTGAGTTGTGGGAGGGGGGGGTTTATGTCTTAACTCCGAGATATCTTCAAAACCGGACACGACCGAAGAGCAATCAGTGTGTCGAATGAAACACACTTGTGATTTCAGGGTTGATTTATTGAGTATCTGTCGCTTCCCGAGAGCGGTGCTCGAGAGCCGCCAGGACCGTGAATACTGAAATAACTGCAAAGTGAAGCAGTTGATGAGATTGTGGTTTGAATCAGTTGGTCTGAAGGGTGGAGAACAAGGTAGCAAACGTAGTAGTTAATATATTATCCAGGTTTCTGATTACATGTGTGTAGGTGAGTAAGTAGTTAGTCAGTAAAACAAAAAATATCAGGGATAAATGATGAAAAACGAAAGTTTCTTAGTTCATTGCTGGTGGAGTGGGTTTATTCTGCATATGTAGTGTTAGTGATGAATAAGTGGACACTAGTGTGCTCGTACAGTTCAGTGTGTCTCTCTCTCTCTCTCTCTCGCTCAGATCGAGCTCGCCATCTTGCGCTTCCCGTACGACTCGTGGGGTACGCCCTTCCAGCAGCTGAAGCAGGTGGTGGAAGAACCTTCGCCCCAGCTTCCTGCCGACCAGTTCTCCCCCGACTTTGTGGACTTCACCTCTCAGTGGTATGTACAAAACATTCAGTTCCACATTTTTGGGATTCTTTCATTTTCTCCACACAATAAGCAGCTGAAGGCCGGGCTCTTCGGGCGAGAAGCCAGCGGAGTCGCCGTGCCCTTCATCGAGACCGTGATGAATCATACGATCCCAGCTGAGTGGGCTTCACTTAATTTCCCCTTCAGTCAGATTGAGTTAATTATGACTTTCTTCTGTTGTTGTGAGATGGGATGTACAGTAAATAGAAGAATAACATCAGAATAAAAACATCAGTCTTTAAATTGTTTGTTTTGTCCAACTTAACTCAAAGTCACTCACAAGCTTTTTTCTCAGCTTTCAACCGTATCTCACGGCCTTCCTCAGCCCGTGGAAAATCACATCCAGATGTTTACACAGATATCACACAGAGAAAAAAATTATCATATTTTAGAAGCTAAAACTGGCAAATCTTTGGTTTGTGTTGAACAATTAATCAGTTATCAGAATTGTAGGCCAAATCAAACCTTATGGCGGCCAAACTTTGGCACACAGGCCCCACTTTGAGCAGCCCTGGTGTAGCCCAAGCCTCCAGCTCAGCTCGCAGTATGTGACCCCATTCACACTGAGCCAGTTAATGCATCCTGGGGTGGTTCAGATAGCAGTCTGATATAAAAGCCAAGTGTGAAGACAAACAGGAAGCCCATCTTCCCAAGTTGCATCTTCCCGAGTGAACAGTATCAATAATAATAACCTTATTTATATAGAACCCTTTTACAAACAGAGTTTACAAAGTGCTTTGACAGATAAAGCGACCTGATTGTCATGATACACAAAATGAAATTAAAAATATATAATATTATAATAAATAAATAAAATACAATAAAAAGAGCAGAATAGAAGCAATAAAAATAAAATGAAAATAAAAATACCATAAGAAATGAAATAAATTAGAAAGAATAAAATAAAACAACAACATAACATGAAGGTTTTAAAAATGGGTCACTGATACCTCCTCAGGCAGGTCTTTCCAAAGCCGACGTGTCCTGAAGGCAAAAGCACAGCCACCTTTAGATTTAAGCCTCGAACAGCTGGAAGGACTCCAGCTGAGGACCTGAGGACCTATAAGGCTGCGTACTGGCTCATAATGGATCAACATGTAACTATGTAGCCTGGGGCCAGACCCAGACGTGCTTTAACAGCAATCAGTAAGATCTTAAAACTGTAAATCGAACAGGGAGCCGATGGCGAGTCGGCAGGATCGGTGGTGATGTGATGTGGTCTGTAAAACCAGTAGCAGCGAGCAGCGTGGAAGCAGCCGCCCACAGGGTCCTTACTCCCCGTGGTAACGATAACGGCAGCAGACATTATGGGCTTTATAAAAGCAACAGGAAGATAGCAGCATCACCAGTTTCCTCACATACAGTAACGTCTCAATACAGGATTTATCTGATCCCTCGTCAGTTTGTGTGGATAGCTGTGAGCTACCAAGCTAAACTGATATTGTTTTATAGCCAAACAAACGTTATCCAGGGTTTTTTTGGCAGGGTAAATCAGAGTGTATTATATCACACTTCCAGAGACTCTTTGAATGGGGCCGGTGTTTCTGAGGGATACTTTATATCAGGTTTCAAGTGGCACAAACAGTTATTTTACGGCACATTGTCCTGAGTTACACTCAACGGCCAGTTCCTCACCACCTTTCTCCACAGATTCTGTCGTAGAACAACGGATCCGGTTGGATTTTAGAGGACGTTGATGCATAAATGTGCTCGATGAGTGAAAGTGAAGACTAGACTCGTGACTAAGAGTTTCTGTCCTGAACCCAGTGGGACAAATCTGAAGAGAGAAATGTGTTGAATGAGTTCCCAGTAATGACTCGCTGTATGCCGACGCTGCAGTTGTTACAGTCAGGTCAGAATATGTTGCTGCACTTTGAGCAGTGTTCAGTCCTCTAATGTAAAACGCAGTGTTGTGGTTTAATTCCTACAAAAAAGATTTATCAGGTCTGTCGAGAGCATACACTGAACAGGTAACAGCTGATTTACTGGCAGATACACGCCTGATCCTAATGGTTTTCACAGTGAGGCCTTTGTGACTCACTATGAAAGCTATGATTGTATTCCTGGGAATCGAACAGAAACTCAGATCAAAGTCAACAGTCGGACAAGTTTGTTATCAGGGGAAGCAATTGCTGAAATAAAAGCGTTTATCAGTTCAGTGATGAGTCATCTTTTGCTGTGAATTAATGCTGATGTTGCTTTTTTCCCTCTGCAGCTTAAAGAAAGTTTCCAAAGAGCGTCCGACTTACACAGAACTCATGGTGAGTGAGTTTAAATTCTTCCTCTCATCTGACAGAATACAAAAAAAGGCTTGCAACTCGACTATTAAGGCTGCTCTGATTGGTCGTTTTTGTTCAGGCCCGGTGAATTCTTGTAGATCCCATCAGGAGCACTAGGAGGAGCTAGAGGAACCTGATGTTTTAACATATTATGTGTCTCCTTGATACCTTCCCTCAAACTCTATCCTAGATCCTATCTGTTTAAACCCCCACAAGGGGGCGCCAAGGACTCATGGAGAGTTGCAAGGCCTTTTAGATTTTCAGATGTGCAGGAGAGATAGACAGAGAATTGCATAAAAAGTTCCTAAAAAATATCAAGAAAATTCACCTCTGATCAATATTTACAGGACATAATCTGCTCAAGATTCATCCAAATCACTCGTTTTACACAAACTTCCTGCATATATTGTGTTCACTGTTTATTGTACAGTTCATCAGTTATCACTGTTATTGTAATGCACTGAATATAATATTAAATATTCATAAATTATAGTCACTTCATTAGTTTGCAGGAAAAAGCCTGGGAACTGCTGTCATAAGAGTTATAATAAGTCACAGAGCATGATTCAGACTTCATATTGTTATTATTCTGCTGTTAACGGATTACATGCAGGAATCTTGTAATACTGCAAATCAGACACTGGAGGGCGGACTAAGACCATTGTGTCCCTTTGTATGAAGGTCCTCTCCCTCACATATGAGCTGTGATGCTTCAGTGCATAAATCAGCTGCATTATAAACAAGGCTGATATCCTAATGACTCCTAATTGCACTCCAACTAAATTTATGTTATTTCCCTCCGCAGCAACATCCCTTCTTCACCTCCCACGAGGCCAAAGAAACCGACGTGGCTAGCTTTGTGAAAGTCATCTTAGGGGACTGAGTCGCCGCACTTGCATAGGAGGGAGGGAAGATCTGTTCAGAAGAAGAAAATAAAAATACAACAAACAAAAAGCACAAATCGCAACCCCAACCTTTACCTGCAGGACTCCCCCTGCCCCGCCTCGCCGTAATCTCACCCCCTCCTCCCTCCTGAATCAAGACACACGGAGCCCGGAGAAGCTGACGAAGGCGGTGGAGGAGTCTGTCCCCACCCCCCCCACATACCTGGCCTCCATGTCCTCTGTACATTACCTGGCACGGGAGGGGCACATAATCTGGAGTAATTTAAGATGTCTGTATGCAAAAACTCCCACTTCAGTTAGATTTGTCCCACCTCTGTGCACCGCCTACTACTCATTATTAGTCAGCGAGTTGACTGCGTGTGGAGTTAAACCACCACAATGGTCAAACTCTTCTTTTTTTCTGAAAAACAAGACGTGAAAAGAGGTGCAGATTATATTTAAAAAAAAGATGAATGATATAATGCTATCTATGTATAATCTAAATGTTTGTATACTCAAAGCAAGTGTTGCATCGGTTTATTAATTGACTGCATGTACAGAATATATCTCTGGGTAAACACGGGCTCAGATGGCCAGTGAGGAACAGTCGTAGAGTCCGATAGTTGAAGACCCGCAGGGCCTCACTTCATGGCCTCTTAGTGGTCGCAAATAGGTACTGCACTTCAACTGCTTTCCCTTGATTACAGCAGAGGGTCTACTACACGTTTAGGGCTCTGGCTGCCTGTGAGTGTGCGTAAGTGTGTTTGTATGCGTGTGAGTTGGTGCATGATGTATGTGTGTGTGTGTGTGTGTGTGTGTGTGTGTTTGTTTGTAGGGCTGCATGATTTGGGATAAAACTAGAACTTTTGCGCTCAGAGTTGAGATACCGAAAAGTTTCCTCTGCAGCCTCATAGTGCCTGTGAGAGCTTTTCAGTTCTAGTGATGGTCACGAATCAAGTTCCTGTTATTTATGTATTTTTGTGGCCAGGCGGCAGGATTTTCTTGTAGTTTTCGTGGCCTTGGTGCCATCATATTGTACTTGTACGCATTTCGATGTAGAGCTATAGGGTGCAGCGATTAGTTGATGGAAAGAAAATAATTTGCCAAAGTAATTCAGTAATTTTTAGAGCAAAAATGTCAAACATTTGCTGCTTCCAGCTGCTTAAATGTAAGGATCGCTGCTTTTCTTTGTCATTTATGATAATAAATGAAGAGTCTTTGGGTTTTGGTCGGACAAAAGAAGCAACTTGAAGACGTAACTTTGCTTGCACAGCACGTAAATCTATAATATATATCCATAACAGTTCCTCACTTGAAGAATGTGAAGTTTTTGTCGGAACTTTGGTTGGATACAGTCATTTCTTCAGTTCTGACTCATTATTTATTAAATCTTCTTTGTTCATGGCTATTTTTGCCGCTGTGTCTGGCCTGGTCAAACAGGTCTCAAGAGCAGAATTCGGGACAAAGATGGATTTTGTCTTTGTGGAATCACAACAACGCCTCTCGGGACCCTTTTCCACCAAATTTTAACAGAGGGTGCTACACAATGCACAACAATTTGTAGAATATGACATGGCCACTTTGGTTCGCAAGGAGAACCTGCTATTTTATGGTTCCAGCTGGGAACTAACTTTCCAGGTTCTGAACCAATTTATTTTTGTTCGAAATGCTCCGAACGGTGTCAAAACTACGTGCTTGAACCGGAAAGGAGGTGTTTCCCTGTTGGTAAAAAGGACTATCGGTGGTTTGTGTTATAGAGGAAGTTGGATTGTGTTCATCCAGAGAGTGCAAAGTGCAAATTATGTGAACCATGTTCACATAGGCCCGTCAGACGAGGGTTTGGCTGAAATAAACTAGTTCGTGTGATGTGTCGTCTGAAGGCAGAAGTTTAAGCGTCTTCGGGAAATGAAGCTTTGGACACAAGTTTGACATCATTGTTTTGATTGTTTGGCAATATCCAACTGTCAGAAAAACGATCGATGAAAGGAATCGTTAATCTAGGAGATTCCGATATATTGGAAAATTTGGAACCCGTTCTTGATTCCCATCCCTAATCACAAGTAGACGCATTGAGATCCGTTCGCCACCACGTCTTACGTAACCTGTAACAAAGTCTTGTGTAAAAATTTGAAGCGCTTAGTTTGATGCAGCGGACCGCCCTGCTAATGCAAACACATAAATGTAATGAGACTGCGCAGAGGTACGAAATGTAAATCTGATGAGTCATGCAGCCCTACTTGACACACACACACACACACACACACACTTTACAGTGAGGTGTGTGTTGACATTGTGGTCAGTTGTGGGAGAAGATTGCCCATATTCTCCTTGTTGTCTGTACTGAGCCAATCACAACCCTCTCCACTCCATGTTCAACATGAAAAGAACTGGATATTATTACTATTATTATTATTATGATTAATATTATATTAATTATTGTTATTATTTAGATCCAGGTTTGTTTGTTTGTTTTCCCCAGACAGATTTACTGCAGTTTTTCTTATTTATTACAACTGCTGTTTTCCCTCTGAAAACTTGACCGATCCATTCGAGACTTTTCTTGTGTGTTTGTGTGGGCTGTGTGTGTTTTTGTCGTGTTCTTCTTGGCTCAAACACGTAAAATGCTTTTGAACTGTAACTTGCAAGCCTTCTATGTGCCTCTCTATAGAAAACAACTAAGGAAAATAATATGTTGTAATAAGGACGATGCAGGGATGTCTGCCTCTCCCGTCATATCCGCTTTCTCTTCTTCACGCCCTGCATGGCATCGCGATTCCACTTCCTGTTTGTTTTCATCACTTTTGTGTTTCTTGTCGTAGATGGAGCTCCGGTTCCAGTCAGTATTGTTCTTCTACACGTTTGTGCTCATCTCTGTCGTTGCCTTGGTTCTTGGCTTTTTTCTCGTGGTGGTTTCTGATGGTAGGAGACGCCTGTAGTTGTTATGCAAGTACTACTCTAATGACAAAATGGGAAACTTGAAATACTGTACGTGGCAGGGTACTGTCACAGTGGGAGAATTTACATCATCTTCTTGCCTATAAATATTTAGTTGCTCGATGTCTGTGTCTGTCTTCAGTCCATTTTAGCCCTGTTTCGGTCACTTTAGCTGTGTTGAAGTTGTTTGATTGTTGCTTAAAGGCTCAATCTGTGATGTAAAAGAAGACAAAAAGGATTCTGCTATCGCTCCTTATTTAATTAACAGGACTTCTTTTTAACCTTTTACCACCCAAAGGACGCTACCACTATGTAGAACATTCACCGAGGAAAATTACATGAATATGACCTTTTTAAAATACATGTATGAATAGACTAGAAACATCTTTTGTGTCATTTTGAGTTGTTAAAAATAATTTAGGCACAGTGCTTGGCAGAAAGTACAACTGGAAATGTCCAAGAAGGGTTAAATAACAAAGCTATCCATTTGTTTAGTTTTGGCAGAGCAGTGTTCAAGTAGAAATGCTGGATAGCAGCTACATTAAAGCTGCACTGATTTTATTTATTGTTTGGCCACTTGGGGGCAGCAACATAGCTGTAAACACATCATTGACATATTATCACATTATAAACAAGAACAACAATAGCATTTATTTTTGAACGTAAATCCAACATTTGCTCTCTTTTAGCCCTGTTTTGCTCATTAGCTGCTAAAAGATCTGTAACGTTCACCAGCTAGTGGCCAGCTGATGCTGGTTAGTCGGTAAAACATCTGTTTGATGAGAACGGTGAGACGGTTCAAATAATAAAACATTATCCCATCAGAATAATATAAAAAAATACTACAGGCAAATAAAAATGCCACACATGGAGGCTTCAAGGTCTTAAAACATACAGGAAATGTAATTGAAACACAAAACAATTACAGATTGAGCCTTTAACAAACTACACCAAGTTGTACTACATGAATTAACATTTGTATCTCGAAGAAGTAATATTCTGTCTTTGCTGTTTTGTCCGCAGTCAAAACAAACTCATTTGTCCACAGTACAGTCCGCTCTGTCATTTGAACGTGTTCACCAGGGAGTTTCCTGTTTTGTAGCAGACAGGCACATTTCCTTTCACCCTTCACACCATAATCTGCTCCCCGCTGGGCTCAGGTCCCACAACCTTCAGCTTACTCCAGGTAGCAGTTCCTCGAAGCGTTACTGACAGACAAAGATCTGGGCTGATAGAGCTTCCTCCTGTTTTTATTTGCAGCACTAAACTGTCGCCCTCCTCCATTAGTTCCTCCAATCGCTTCTTACCAAACCGTTTCACCACAGCCGGCTCTACCGAAAGCCGTCTGACACACGGTGGGTGCGATTGCGTTTTTACTCCTACGTGTGTCTCTTTGCGTCTTTCCTTACTTCATTTGTAATGAAGGTGAGTCAGCGGGCAGGTGGGAGCCTGTCAGACAAAACTCACTGCCAGAGACAATAGTGATGACATTAAGGGCTTCCTCATTAGTACATTTTTGTGCCATGGATGGAAATATACTTTTGAGAAACTCTAATTGCACTTAGTGTTTTATTGCATGATGAAATTAGCCAAATTCAAGTCACACTTTTCCTCAGCAGAGCAAAAAGGCTGTTTCCGTGCAGCGCGGACTGTCGCAGGTCTGTCTTCATCCGTCGTGTTTGTCCTGAACACAAGGAACTGGCAAGCCCCAGAGGATCTCATGATGAGTGGTGTACCAGAGTCCTCTTTGTTCTTCAGATAATCAGCATCATTTTCACTCATTTAGCGAATATGAGCAAAGAGCCCGAGTAGAAAAGCGAGGACTCATGTGAAACTCGGGGTCAGGGAACGGGGAGTCTTTGAGGAGGGGGACAGCGTGTGCATCCCTGCTGCTTATTGAGCATCCAGGAGAGAACCAGTCCAGACACTCTGACATCCCAACTGTTGAAAACAACTGGATGCTCCACCTGCGTTCATCATCCTGTGCATGGTCTTGTCGCAGTGATTTGGGTGTGTGTAGTATTTATGTGGTCTTTTAAGTGCCTAACGATGCATGTCTGTGGTGAACATTAGGTTTAAACACTTCTACGTCTTTGTGAACGATGCTTAAAACACTGTTTTTGTCCTCCAGTTCTTCTCCGGGACACACTGACACTGCATGTTGCTGTGATGTTTTGCACTGTACTGAGGAGCCATATCACAAACTCACAGAGGGGTGTTACTGTAAGAGTCATTTTGACCGTGAAAGGTTGCGGTCTACGTGGTGTTTCTGGCTTTTTCAAAAGAGAGCTTGGGATTATGAGGTTCTGACTTTTTGTATACTGTAAATTCTCAAATCTATCTCTTATCTGAAGAGGCTTTTATTTGAGACAGGCTATTTTTAAGTATATTTAAGCCTTTCTACTCCCATTAGCTTGTTGATGCTGCCTAACACTTTGAATCCACCGGGCATGGCTCTGCAAAGTTGGGTTTGCAGAACTGTTGCCGCTTCATGCCGCATTTCCCATTTCAAGATTCACACAAAACGGGACCCCATTTGTGAAAACATTGCTCAATAGTGCCACTAGTGGACAAAAACTCCTCAGGGTCCCTTTAACATGAACGTGCGCAAAGCTGAATCAATCACTCGAAAGGAACGGTAGCAGTGTCAACGTTTCATCCTACAGTAATTAGTAATTTCTACCAAGTTTGGAAGTAAAACAGTTTTCCATTTACTTTAGAAAATCAAATATTTCAGAGATATTGGTATGGGTGCCAAATTGGCTTGATTTGTGAGTTTAATTTCACACTGTTGTCCCACAAGGCCGTGTGTAAAGAGAAGCAGTAGCTCTTCATGGCTGGAAAGTATCTCTTTCTACTAATTGCTGCTCCAGCAAGATCTCATAACACTAAACCAAAAGATGATATGTACAATGTTTGGAATGGCATTACTCTTACATAACTCTTTGTAAATTTAATATGTTAAATTGGCGGCAGCTTTCTAAATTTGCAGTTTGAATAACATCTGTCAACGGCAAATGGTACATTAAGTTAATAAACGTACTACAAGGAGTTTTTAACTGGTTATGGAGCAGTCTCAGTTTAATACTGATGCCTCTATGTGACCTACATAAACAAACAAGACCATTAGAGAGAAGATTGGATATTTTCTATATTCCTTATGCCTGCCACGATTTTTTTGAAAACTAACCGAATTCTCTGTGCCCTTTCTATGTCTGACTTCCTGCCATTCACGATCCATTCTGTGCTGCTTGGCGTGAAATATTTGTAGCGGAGAGATGCTTCTGGGTTGCACCACAGCGCTTCTGGTGGAATTTGGAGCATTGTCAAGAGCGGGCGTGAGACAGAATGCATCGCAGCCATGTCCGGTGAAATTTGGGGGATAATGTAAAAGTACACTACTCGCAAAAAGTTAGGGATATTCCACTTTCGGGTGAAAATTATGGAAAATCTAAAAAGTTGATGCTACAGTGATATTATATCATGAAAGTAGGGCATTTAAGTAGAAGGTCAAATTAAGGTCACCTGGAAAGGTTATAGTGCATTTTATGTACATTCTGAAATTTCATCTGAAAGCCGAATATCCCTAACTTTTTGTGAGTAGTGTATACGACCAAAACATGCATATAAAATGTATTAATATTAGTTTGAATTGCAGAATTGTGAGAGTGGGGATTACACAAATGTGCGTTGTGCTAAATTTACAGAGCTATTAGTAAAGGGATGGCCCCTCACCTTCATTCAGTACCAACCGACAGGCCTGGCTCTGGCTAATATTTGAGAATTTACAGTATCTACGTATTAATGGTGATATTACATTTATTTATGGTTGTGTAAAGTTCTATATTTTTAAAGCGGGACACAATTGTTTGACGCTCAGTCTCCCAAAGCTTCACTCAGAACCTTCTAACTCCACACTTCATTTCTTCAGCTTGGCATACAGCGTTTACACTTCTGGTCACAGTTGACTCATATTCAATTTTCAACAGGCTATAATGAGAAAAGAGTCTAGTCCAATCACTCATCACATGGCATTTTCCTGTCTCTGTGTGTGTGTGTGTGTGTGTGTGTGCACGTGTGTGCGCGTGTGTGTGCGCATTTGTCTGTCCCAGCCAGCGTGCTGGCCAAAGGGCAGTGCTATCTTTACCCTGCTGTTCCTCTCTGGGGAGATAATGAAGCGAGTCACGTCGCTGCCACAGATAAAACCGTCACCCCCCTTACTCAAAACCTGCATCAAGAAAGTTTTTTTTTTTGTCTCAGCTTCTCTCACGTGTCAGGCTTTTTGAGAGTGTTTTCTCTTCATACATGTCTGCTTGCATGTGGGAATTCCCGTCCGCGAGTCTATTTGCGGCTCGTGTTCACCTGCTGAGTAAACCTCAGTCACTGGGGGTTAACGGGGGCAGGACGTCCGAGTGGAAACAGTCCTCGGCGGGCGATTATTGTCACATCCCATCATGATTCCCCTCTTAACATCTGAGTTTATCTGAGCACCCCACAACAGGCACGTATTTCTGGATGATGCGTCTGTGACATCCAGTTGGCAGCGAGGGTTTTTACTGGAACTAGACTTTTTTTTCTTTTTTTAAAGTGCTTGAAGGTCGGATGCAGATTTGAGGCTCGTGAGAGAATCAGAGGAAATTTCCTCACCTTTGTCCTCATCCTCAAAATGTGTCAGCGGATGAATCAAAGGTGTCGACACGGCCCGTGTGTGACGCTTCCAGCCCTTTACAAACTGTGCTCTGCCAGGTTTCTGCCGGACTATATCGAGTGTAAATCTGTTGTTTGTGCGTGAACCGTGCTGAGGTTTCTTGAACGCTTTTGTTTTCCCCCATCTATCGCACAACACTTCTCGCTTCAAGCGTTGTCGAGGTCGAATGCTACGACATGACTTGTGAACCGTGGAGCTTTGTGTTTCTCTGTTGCAGGTGGTAAACTGCTGGTACACACAGCTGTATGTGACTTCTGATGTTGCGGTGTTGTGTTCTTTTATTGGGGGTTGGGGGGGGGGATTTGTGTTCGGGCTGGTTTTCTAAAATAAGACGTATCCAGAGATGCTACTGTACGTGGAAGAGGGTCTTTCGTTGCTGTTGGGTGGGTTCGGGGGAGGGTTACCGTGGCTACAGCTCCTTGCCCCGTGGGAAGTGAAGTTCTCAGTATATTTACACATCTCTAAAGCCTCTGCTAAAGACTGATGACTGTTCATTTAGAGCTCAATGAATTTCTATAACTATTTTAGATTGCTCAAACTGATTATGTGCAATTGTAATGATGGAAATTCAATAAAAAAAGAGGTATTTTTACACAATAAGCTCCGTGTCTGATCTGTTTTAGCTTGTCTTTTATTTCAGGGGTTCAATACGCTTCAAACGAACTAAGAATGTGCAAAAAGGACTTTACATGTCTCCGTAGTCTCGACACAATGAAACCTTTAACTTTTTCTAACAGACTCTCCCCATTCAGTTTGCCTCAGTAGCTGGTTTGGCACTGAAATCTGATTGGCCACACCAAATTATACCACATTATCCTCCTTCACTCTGAGTCTGTGACAGGCTTCATTTTAAAGATGGAGTAAAGATACCATATGAGACTAGATGAGCTAAGAAGCACTTGGAAGCAGACTGAGGCCTTCAGTATCTACAGCTAGTCGGACACAGTGGTGCTTTGAGCTAAATGCTAATGCCCCCCCGGAGACACCCCTGGTCCTCCTCAGCGGCTACCTTTCAGGAACCAACACATTCAGCATCTGTTTGACACTTGGCACATTTTTTTAAGGACTTAAAAAATATGTTTTTTATTTCCCAGCCATCTGGACGTCCGATAATTGTTTAAGATTTTGTACCCAATCAAACTCCAGAGATCGGCTCAGAAGTCCTCACTTTCTGGAGGTGGACAAACGTAACACCCTGGAGGGGACGTGCATAAAACATGGTACAGTTTTCCTTTGTTACAATGTCATTTAAATGCTTCCAAATAAAACTTGAACTTTTTGTTGAAGCCTGATTTTGAAGACGTCTACATGTGTTTGGATCTATATGCGACCTAATCAGCTGCCGGGTTCTTTCTTTTACTCTGTGTTTGTCTTTTTATTGCCCTGCTGGCCTGGGACTGATGTGTTTGGTCAGTAAACTCAGAGAAAAGTCACGTAGCGCAGCAGCTCTGAAGCGGTGTGCTTCAGGGCTGGGAACTGGACCCGTTGAACTTCCGTACAGTACGAGGATATTGCGTGCACAAAAACAGAAAATAAAAACACACAATCTGCACACCATGGCGAACAAAAGCAAGATGAGAGAGTGAGGGAAGCAAAACAACCCTGAGGAAAGCTAAACAGTGAGCTGAGAGGTGATTGGACGAGAACGCAAACTACCTGCTGCTCCTCGTTTCTCACCCGCCACCTGCTCCGACATACGGCTTGTTTTGACGCACATCCCTCCTCCCCTGAAGTCAGTTCTTAGACTTTTAAGTCTGAAAGTGGATATTTTTAGCTCTATGCTGTAGCGCACAACGTCTTCCTTCCTTTCGCGACCATCTCTCAGACCGCGGGGGGGCAAAGTTCACCCTACAGTGTGGAAACCCCCCATCCTGCATTCTTAGAAAGTAGAATGAAGTCTCGCATCAGGACGCAGTTATGTTTATTATTTACGAGGACTGGAGGGGGGGGGGTTGCCCGTCACTACTTCACACCCCCTGAATCCTGGCCGTTTGGTATAAATCAGGCCACCTCTCGAGGTCAGGGTCCGGGAGATGCCAGGCCTTCTTCCAACTGCCCACCGCTCTCCGGTGTCGCTGGAATGCTGTTCTGTGTATTTTTAACAGCACCACGACTGGTTGCTTTTATATTCTCCAACATTGTGTTTTCTCCTTCATCCTCACTGCAGAGCGGTGCAGCACCTTTACCGTACTGTGAGCTGTCTGTATCTTAAAGGCCCAACCAGCCGTATAACTCAAAAAGAGAAACAGTTTAATGATACTATTATTATTTTAGTTTTTTTTAGAAAAGCTTGTTTAGTTAGTAGTAGTAGTAGTAGTAGTAGTAGTAGTAGTAGTAGTAGTAGTAGTAGTAGTAGTGTTTTTGCAAGTTTTTAGCACAACTGTTCATGATTACACTTTTGCTGATGACACTTTTTTACACTCAAATTACGCCAAAACTTTAGAGTTTTGACAACTTCAACACGTGCTACATTGAGTTTGGGGATTTAGCATTTCCTCTACAATCAAAGGTATTTTTAATTACCACTTAATAATTGGTAGCATAAACACAAGATTTAAAGTATAAATTAGGCTACTCATAAAATGAACTTGTTCCAACTAGTTTTTCCACGTTATTTATGTCGACACAACTCATCAAAACACTGTAACTTCAAATGCAACCATACATTTAACTACGTGGCCACAATATGTCCAATGAATTATGTTTAGAGTGTAAATACACGCTGTATAGAGTTCTTATTAGTTTCCAACCTGCAGCTGTTGACTTCCACTCAGTGCAACATGGATATCACTGCAGACTTTTAAAACTGGCTTGAGTTGTTTAATCCATCACAGTGAACATTGTTCATACTGTCTGTACTCTGTGACGACTTTTGACTTAAACATTACTTTTATTTTTCATTCCACACTCAGCGTTTGATGTTGGCCTTTATGAACAAACAGCAGCCACACCTGTTCATTCAATAAACATTTACTGTGGGATGTGTTGCTTTCCTGCTGCGACTTCCTTTTTTATGCTTTTCTTCCCGCCTCAAGGTAAAAAAAAGCCTCTCGACTCCATCTCCACTTTATTTGTTTTCCACGGAGGCTCTGAGGCCGTTCACATACATTATTCATGCCACCACTCGTACACGTCGAGCCCAGCGGGAGATTCCTCGCTGCACGTCTGCCGTGTTGCTGCTGCGTGCCCTGGTTTGAATTTCAGAATATAAGCGACTCCCATACTGAAAGCTGGTGATCTCATGGAAACTCTTCTGAGCGGTGCACTTAAAAACTGATTTATAATGAAATGCAGCCCCTGAGTTTTTTGAAGGGGGGGTGGATGTAAGGTTTGGGGTTCTGCACTGGACTGCTGGGGGAGTTTTTATGTTCCTTAAACTTTATGCTTCTGTGTAACTAAAAGCAGCCATCGCATCCTGTCATGTCCAGTGACAGAATTTCCTGCAGACATGTGGGGGGGCCTTAATGCACACTGAACCCCGGCTTCTAACTGTAAATAGCACTCAACAAAGCCTTACGTGACCCGGGCTTTCTTCTCTGAGAGTTCAGCAAAAGAAAAGGCCTCCGGAGCATAAAGGCAAGCCACTCAGGCCTCAGCTTCTGCAACTGTATGACACAACTGACAAGTGGATATTTTCATCCTGTTAAGAGAGAGAGAGAAAAAAAAAGTCCTCATGATAATCTCCAATCCCTCCGTCCCCCTTGAATCTCCTCAGGCTGCTAATAGATGAGCAAAGCCAAAAAGTCTGGGCAACAATAAAAGGCTTTCTGAGGAAAAGGGAGGGGCGGGGCTGTACTTATTTAGTCAAGAGAGGGGAGGGAGCAAGGGCGGGGCTTGGCGGCGGGAGGTGGAGGTGGTGATGTAGAGGGAGGGATGTGGGGGGGGGCATTGCTTGTGCACCTGCGTTAGAGTAGCTCCTTGGGAAAAGGGAAGAAAACAGGATCTAAAACTCAAACAACATCCCGTAACCCCCCCTCCACCCCCCCATCCCAGAAGTGTTTATGCTGTTTTTCCTGCTCCTCTCTGTAAAAAAGTGGGAAAGAGATGAATCAGTCAGAGGGGGGCTTGTGTAAGGATGGGACTGGGAGTGGTATTTCCTTATCGCAGGCCTCGGCTCATCTACATACAAGTCATTTCCTTCATTTATCTTTTTTATTCAAATCGCCGCTCTGGGAATGAACAGATCCTGTTTTGATGAATGAAAATGTGATCATTCTTGCTTTAATCTTAAAATACGACTGCTGACTGTGACAAAGTTTTACAGTAGCTCATGTTATAGTGACAATGATCCCTTTTGGGAAGTTTTGAAAGAGAGGGAATTCCCTGTAATTGAAAACAATCCCAGTATAGTGTCGGAACCACGTCCAGTAGCTTACATGCTTCCTGGTACTGTTGTCTTATTCCTTCCTTTTTGTATTATTTCTGTGCGTATGAGGGAGAGAAGAAAGGTAAATGCGTTGATGAAGAAATAAAAAAACAGCTCATTCAGAAACAATATTACGTGCATTAAAAATAACTTTTTTTCTGCACTTACGGACCATCATGACACCAGACAACCGAGAACAAATAAGAGATCAAATGTGGGAAATAAAAGTAGCTAATAAACAAAACAAGGAAAACACTGTTTATATGTATAAATATTTAACTTCTTATTATGTTCCTTTAAAAGAGGCGAATGGCCCTCTTTAGGGACTGTATGAAAATTATTGCTGCGATGATGAACCTTATGTTTCACTTTTTAAAAAGAATAGACCCTTCCCATTATTAATACATACTCCGGATCCTCCGCTTGACAAAATTACAACATTCAAGCAGAATGTAAATCTCCCAAATCCGACATTAGGAGCGGAATCAGCAATTCCCAACATTATGATCAACACAACACATGGTGCAGCCTGTTTACTGAGCTTTTCAGCTGAACTAAGATACTTCTGGGGGAACATTTTATTGTACAGTTAATATTTTAGATATTTTGGGAAAAAACTAAATTTTAAAGTCAACATTTCAGATATTTGGTGGAAAACATCAAATGGAAAAAGCCAAATAAAACCAGAACCCAGTTGTCTGTCCCCGGGGATACACAGCTTGCATAAGATGCTGTACTCGGCCAGTCTGACCACACACACTGTGTCGTGCCTGCTCACCACAGAGGAAGTGGCTGCCAGAGAGGAAGTGAACATGTCCCGTTTGCGAGCGCAGCCGAGGGGAAGAAGAAGTGTTAAAGTTATTAGCCGAGTGGGAGCGCTGCGTTCAGGGGGCATCCTGTGCACAACAAATGCTTCCTGCTCCTGGCTCCAACGACACAAAACAACCACAGAGGGAGGGCGGGGAGAGTGGAGAGGAGCACGGAGGGAAACTGAGAACTTAACCCTGCTGACATGTGAACCTGCACACAACTAAACACAGGTGGAAACTATGCTGTGCCCTCAGGAAAATACACTCACTCCCCAGAAGGCTGCCTCTCTCTCTCTCTCTCTCTCTCTCTCTCTCTCTCTATACAGTGAGCTCCTATAGAGGTCCTCGAACTCCTCAATGGAAAATTCATGTTTTTCATTTTAGCAGGCACATTCCTGCACACACACACACACACACACACACAC